ATATACATTCTGTTAGACCACATGAGAATATAATTTGTTTGCTAATTACTAAAGAAAACATGCATTTTTAAGTGTAAATGTGTGGACATTTATTAAAGAATTGATATTTACTGTTGTATTTATAAGATTATGTATTGCCAGTGTCTATTGCCATTTTTAGTACTGGCAAATTTGCAGAGCTTTCAGTCCGAACCGGAAGTATGTCCGAACCGGTAGTACGTCATGATGCAGGGACCAGAAGTTGCGTCAGACGCTACACAGTGTGATCCAGAAATGAAATCCGAAGGAGGCCAGGGCATAGGATGCAGCCCTGATACCAGAAGTAGAAAGAAAATTGTCGCAAAAGCCGAAAAGGGCGCCAAAAACTGACATATTTAAATGATTAGGAATGAGGAAGAGGATTAGACTTTTGATAAAGGCCCAGACCGAAGCGCGTCAAGTCTTTGCTATTTGCACAGTGGACGTCTTATTTATTTATACCCAGTGTTTGTTTTTACCCCAATTTTTTAGTGTGTCCAATAAAATTGTTATTTCAATTCCTTGCAACCTGGAATACTTGAATATAATGGAAGGACCACGGAGGTGTGTGGAGGCCACGTGTTGATATTATCCATGCCTGTAGTTTGAGCCTGCTTTTGTTAAGGGGCTCAAAACCATGTGATTAAAACCTTTTTTAAGTCTGAGTTACAAATTAGACTTAAATGTTACTACTCTATGTGCTTTTTTTCCTGTTCTTATATTTTATATACAAGAGTGAATCAAGCACTGATAAAATTACAGACTTTTTGAATGCTAAGGGTAAAGTGTTATCTTGTGTAGTGTGCTCTCACCAACTGTTTATTGTCTATTTCCCATTGAAAACTCATTTACAGGTGGTACCTCACCCGAGCTACACTCCACAGAATCTACTCCGCTGTCTCTAGTTCATGCTGGAGATGAGGACACACAGATGGCAATATGATGCATATATGGTGGGAATTCTCAGATATAAGTACAAGTGTGGGATAGAGTACAAACCCTGGTTTCTAGATGAAACATTACTACACAGAAACTAGATATAAACATCTGCTTGTTTCTTCTCTACCATCCCCGAATGCCCAAATCGGACAAACAGATGTTGTCCACGTTTGTGCTGGCAGGAAGGAATCTTATTGCAACCCACTGAAAATAAAAAAAACCTGTCCCTTATTACTACAACGCATGTCCTTAGGCTCCGCCCAACAATATAAAATCTTCCAGGAGACCTGGAGTCCATGGACAAACTACTATACCCCATCAATCACAACTCCCCCTAAATCTGATATTAAACCATAATCGGTGAAGGGTGAAGTAAAATAAAAAACATTTTTTTTTAAATTTACAAGTAAATATCTATTTGAAACCCACCACCTCAGACATCTAAGGACAGTGCACAAGGCACTATGTACATAATACAGAGACCTTGAGAAAACAAAACTTGTCGGACCTCCGCCTGAAGGTACATACATGTAGGGGACCATCTCAGTGACCGCGCACTTATGTCGGACAGACTATAAAATGAATAAGCTCCTTCCCCCTCTTCCCGGTTTTTCTTCTGTATCCTTCCCCCCCTCCCACCCTCAAAGCTACCATGTATTATCTACATTGTGAAATAAAAACAGGTGAGTAAGCGCTAAATAACACAAATGAGCAGCAACCCTAAAAAAGGGAATCCCTCAAAAACCCTTTAGGATAAGACACAAAAAAATATAGAAAAAGGGCTGCGCTTAAAAAATGAATATATAAAAGTCCAGATGAAATAAATAAATGGATAAATAAATGAATAAATAAAACAGAAGAGGTCTTATCTTGCAATGTCCGTAGTGCTTAGTCAGAGGTAATACTCTTGCTTTCTGTCTTGCTTTCTGTCTTTCTTGTGGATCGTCTCTTATGTAAGATATAAAAACAAATACAAAACCACAATGGTGCAGTATATCTATATGAGTAAGGAATAAAATATAAAGGCTTGATTGCAAACTCACATATCCAAGAGCTAGGACCTGCTCTGGTATAGAAGGCGTACAGCGGTTTAGATCCCCGCTTATGGGATATAGGATGGTTATCCTCCACGTGTTTCCTCCTTCCGTGGTTTAAAAGATGCTCAAATAAAAAGAGACAGCCAATAGTTTTCTCTGCGTAAAATTAAACTCCAATATAAAATAAAATAAAAAATGGATACTCACAAGACAGGAGCAGGTCAACTGCTCCTGATATTTCGCACTGGTGGAATAATCCCCACCTAGGATTGCTTGGAGTCCAGCGGATGATGCCAGGTAATAATAATAATTATATGTGTATTAAAAGATAAGTAATACAATAAAAGATTATAAAATATACTTTAATTGTAACATTACACAATATAAAAAACCATAAACGCGTTTCGCCAATCGGCGTTATCAATATGGGTAAAGGACCTGATACCTGGCATAAGATCATTTAAATAGCATACTCAATTAACTCAAAAATTGGCGCCAAAATTTGGACAGCCAATCAGATTGCAATAACAAATTACATACAGTATAGCAATAGTAAAACATAAACAATAGTATGTATAAAGGTAAAGCTAAAACAGACATTATAAGTTATGTAATTAGACTTTAAAAACGATCAGTGGTTATTTAAAAAAAAGGAAAGGACTCTAAGGTGCACGGTCACATGACCGGCATCACAGCCGCAAGGGGTTATGGGGTATGTAGTTTGACGCCGGCCGGCACTGCGCAGCCGCCGGCGTCATGAGAGGGAACTGGTGGCTGGCGTCTGTTCGCATAACAGATGCGTCCAGACGCCAGTAGGCGGAGCGAGGGGCGGGTGTACTGGTGACGGCGGCACGCACAGGACAGTGGCCGCCGTCATCAGGCGCCTCCGTTATTTTATTTTATATTGGAGTTTAATTTTACGCAGAGAACACTATTGGCTGTCTCTTTTTATTTGAGCATCTTTTAAACCACGGAAGGAGGAAACACGTGGAGGATAACCATCCTATATCCCATAAGCGGGGATCTAAACCGCTGTACGCCTTCTATACCAGAGCAGGTCCTAGCTCTTGGATATGTGAGTTTGCAATCAAGCCTTTATATTTTATTCCTTACTCATATAGATATACTGCACCATTGTGGTTTTGTATTTGTTTTTATTCATTTATTTATCCATTTATTTATTTCATCTGGACTTTTATATATTCATTATCTACATTGTGCAGCAACTCATACAACAGAATGTCTTTATTGAGAATGTCCTCATTGAACACTGTCTCTACTGTATTCACTTTAACTGCCAAGCAATCAACACATCTGCAGGTGCATCCTCAGCGATCTAATGATATCCTTGTAGAAAAATGTAAACTGAGAATTGCTGCATGACTCACAGCTGTGACCCCTTGTTGTCTTGAAATGTGAAACCCAATAAAGAATTATTGAAAAAAAAATAATATATGCAGCCATTGGCAGAAAGATTGAAACCAGTTATGCTAAATATGGTGCATAAATAATGTAGAGTTTATAGCATATAGATAATTAATTAACCACCTTAAAAGGTTAATTAATGTATAGATTAATAATACATATTATTTTGCTTGTATTGTGTATGGCTTATTTGCCTCGATAAGAATAGAAATTTACAACAAACAGAAGGTTAATTAATATTCTAGAGACATCCTCTTAAACCTTGAAACCAAAAAGGCTTTTGGTAGGGTGGTTTCGAGTTTTCTAGAACAGGTACTTCAGGGGTTTGGATTTAGAGAGAGGATATTACAGGCGATTTTGCTTCTTAATGAGCTATGGATGCCCATTATCATCATTGTTAAACATATTGTATCTGGAACCACTGGCTCAATATGTTAGGAAAACCATGTGATAAAAGAGATACATCTTAAAAACAAGGTTTTAAAAGTGAACTCCTATGCAGACAACATTTCACTTACGATCAATGACCTCTAAATTCAAAAGAGGCCATCTTAGCGGAGAATTAGATCTATGTGAATTTTTCTAATTATAAATTGAATAATATGAAGACAAGTATTAAGGGATAAAATACTGGTAAAAAAAATGGAGGAATTGATAAAATAAAAATATTGCTTAATTTAGATTAAGGATTACTTGAAATATCTGGGCATTATAATTTCATCAAATGCCCCCAAAATTGCAGAAATCAATTATAAATGGTGATTAAATAAGATCAAACAATATATTGCAACATGAACTAAACTTAAAATTTCTGGCTGGGATGCATAATTGCCTTGAAATGTTATCTTTTTCCAAATTGGCTATACATTTTTAGATCACTTCCACTTTTTTCCCCCATATAAACGGTTAAAGAAAATTATGTTTAATAGATTTATATGGCTAGGTAAAATATCTAGAATTAAAATATCAATATTTACTAGGAATTATAGAGAAGGTTGTCTTTATATGCCTTATGTTATCAAATATCATAAGGCATATGTGCTATTGCCATGGGAATATGGCAGATTAGATTTATTTATTTATAAAATATTCTACCAGGATGGATACATTGAGATTTCTCTCGTTTTCAAGTATGTCCTGGGTCCACAAATCATTGCATTGCATTAGATAAAATAGGTTGGCTGGTTTCAATAAAAAAAAGAAAATACAAATGGAAGAAGCCTTGAAAAGATCTGCTTACCTTTCGTTGCAACGTAAAAAAAAAAATATATATATTTTATAAATTGATATCCAGTGATTGCCCAATAGAGATCATAGAAACACACATAGCGGATATAAATATAAAATAATGGAAAAATAAAATTATATATTGTATTAAAGATTTGATACAAGGCAAGACAATTCAGACTTTTTCAAGACTTTGAAAGGAATATGCAATCAATAACATAATAATAAGTATCTTAGAATTAAGAATTTCCTGTCAAATGGATTAATTAAAGAAAATGAAATCCAAGATTTGGGTTTAAATTGTTTGTGGTCTCAAAGTGTTAAAATATGTAAATATATAAACAGTAAGGGAAGGGGAGGGCAGGGCTTGCTTCTGAACGAGAGCAGACACATATTGCTAAGGCTCCTGCTTACCCTTTGGTTTTACCACCAATCCAGGGGTAAAACACATTGATTGTACCACACAGTGCCCCCTGCATGAACGGATGCCATTCTTTCATACCCTGAAGGTGAGAAAATTAAAATGCAGGCCTACGGTCTACTTCTCACCTACCCTTGCCGAGCTTGAATCACTCGTTGGCAAAATACCAAATACCAAAATACCAAATTTCCAAGCAGTGAACCTGACCCACTCAAGCAGTCAGGAAACAAAATTACTACAGGGCACAACTCATAGAGACAGCCAGCAGGCACTGCATTAGGGACAAGGGTCACCAGAACCTTTTTGCAGTGTCCATCACAGCCCATGATAGTGTACGTGGGGCCCCTTCCCTGCCTAGCTCTGTGAAGCTGATTGCCCCACCTTCAAAGTCCTCACTCTTGACTTCCAGACACGGACACATCCTTCTACCGCCACTCAGGTTTTTGTGTGCACTGTTTATTCATGTTTTTAGTGCTTAACTTGCTTTAGCTCTGCATGTCAACCCTATGCTCTAAATGAAGCCAGTACACAGCACAGGCTAGTATTTCAAGTTTTGCATGCTAAAATCTGCAGGAATGGTGTTCATCTTGTTTTCTCTGGTTAATATTTTTATAAAAAGTACAGCATTCTTGAAATGCCAAGTCATATATTTGAAATTTACCCTGTCACACTTACTCATGTGGAAATGTCGATGAAGAGAAGGATGGACAAAATAAAATAGAAACTTGGGGAAAACATTTAAATTAAATTTTAAGATATGACTGTAACGGAGCTCCAGTACTACAACCAAGTACCTCCATTGATGGATGCTCCTAGTGCTTCCTGAGGGCTCCGAGCACTTCTCCAGACACCATAAGCACTGCAGACCGGACCTCTCTTCCTGCAGAGAGCGAAGCTGGAACAAGCTCTTAAAAGAGCTTAGTGATTATGGCTGGGCGGGTATGTAGAGTATAGCAATCCCCCAGTTTAAATGCAGCCTTTACCCCCCAATCATGAGACGAGGCTCCATGTTGAGGGTCAAAACAGGAACTCTGCAGTCTGAGGGTTTATTGGCACTTATATGCAACTTTTTACACAATGTTACCACCCACATGGTTTTGTGGCACAGCCAATCAAATACATTATAATCCAGTTAAACACTCCCAGTTAGGACACACATACCCTCCCCTCTGCCTGTGATATAATTATTGTACACAATGGGTTAACTTAATTATCACAGGCAGGAAAATACACAATTTCATGCAATATTCATAACTCACAAAATATACATCCAGTCTCCATAAATTACATATTATGAATCAGCATACTTCAAATACAAACATACCCAATAATCAGACAATTCCCTCCAGTGGTTAAAAAGTTAGGTGGAAGTCCTTTTTGACCAACAGTTCCATAGATTTGGGCTGTGCGGTCGGTCTATTTTACACTGAAAAAAAAACTAAGTCCCATTCGATCGCACAGACGGGGCACCGTTCGTGCAAATAGCTTAGTATAACTGTGCGTTCGAATCGTCGAACGCACTTTGATTTTAGCCGAAGAATCGAAGTGGAGGAGAAGGTAAGGGTCAACGGTGTTCGTGCAAATGTTAACCGCCAGCCTGGGAGGTAAATTTTCTGCACACTTCCACTTGCGTGTGGTCCGCCTGTGCAGTAATTGGTTCGGTTAGCCCCTTTTACCAAACCAAGTGGGAAACAGACATGTACAAGTTATTTTCACAGTCTGGGGACTCTGGGGACACAGTATTAAAGGGACATTGTTCCAATTCTCATTATGTCCCAATAATGTACTTAAAGGGCCAGCACCAGTCCCATAACAATCTATGAGACCAAATAATGTTCTTAGAGGGACATACACCCCAGGGCCATAGTCACAGGGCAAGAGGCTTGCAAGCAGGCCTCTCCAGGACCAAGTGGTGAAGGGCAGTTTGTCACAATGACGAATGGATACATATAATTTTGAATTTAAAGATTAATCTTCACTGTTTGAATCTTCTGGAACTCCAATATAAAATTATACAGAGAATGTATGTAATCCCTTCAACAATGGGCAAAATGTATCAGACATCCTCCATGAGGATGCTAGAGGTTGGCATATTTATTCATACTTGGTGGAGTTAAAATAGTCTGCTTCCTCTCTGGAATTTAGTCTATGAAGTACTCAATGAGTAAAAAAAAATAAAAGGTGTCCCAACTACAGCAATGAGTGCACTTTTGCACATTGACTGGCCAAAAATAAGGAAAGTAGAAATCTCTCTTTCAACACATGAATTAATAGCTGCAAAATACTTGATAACTAAGAGATAGAAACCTTATGATGATTTACATACTTGGACATTGTTTTCGAAGCAGATAAGATACCAGCTTGAGATGGAAAAACACAGAACCAAAACCTCAGGGAAAGGATTTAATACTTGGACTGTGATTTTTGGAGACTTCAATGTATGAATTAACACTGTTATTCTTTCCTGCTTCTGTCTGACAGTTGCCATTGGGCTGGGATAGTTTAACAAGATCTGTCTCTCCCTAATCTTTGACCTGACATTTTGTATATTTGTAGCGTATGTGTATGGTAGTGTATATGTTAGTTTCATTTGATATTATTCTGAATTTTTTGTAATACCTTATGACATAAATGACACATGCATATCTATGGTTTTGTTCTGTATCTCATGTGTCTTATCTATTATAAAACTTAGCAATAAGCTTAGCAAAAGCAATAAAAATTTAAGTTTTAGTTTATTACTAGGGCTAAGGACTGAGACAGGTTAGTGTCATCCAGCAGGTTATAAAGTTTAGAATAGTATGACAAAAATTCATGTGCAATTTTATGTGGGTTGATGATCTTATCTTTGAAGAGGAAGTGCAGATAAATAATAAATAATTCTAGTTTGAACTGCTCTTTTCTTCATTCTGGCCAGAAACTTTATCACCTCGTGAGAAGTGGAGCTATTTGAGTCTGCAAAAGAGGGGCTGGTTTTGGAGACCTCTGGCTCCAGTAACTTTTCCCTTAGCCTAGTTATTTATCTCAGGTAATCTGGGAAGAATTTTGTTTATTAGCTGCAGAAATATCCATTAGACAAAAAGTCAGCAAGTTGTGCTCTTTCTTTTGGTAATTTTGCCTTTATTGTCGTAGTGCCATAAATGGAAACTAGAGTAAAACCCTATGGCTATTTTGTACATCAGGGTAAAAACACTTGCTTGTTAATTAAAATAGATGTGCCTTTTTTTCTTATTATAACAATAAGAAAAATCTATAGGAAATCTATTCGAAAATAGAAATTAAATAAAATTTAAATTCAGGACAATGGTCTCAGCAGAAAATGTGTTTCATGATAGAATGGCATTTGAGCACCTGCTAAAATAGCTTCTTTGAGCACTATACGTCATTTGTGTGAAGAATTTAGTATTAAAGGAAAAAGTGGTGAGCAGGACAAGATGTATCATGCTTTCTGTATAAAGTACTCCATGTAACATAAACTCCATGATGTGATATTGAATCTGGTATGGTGATCTCCAGGAAAGAGCATAGTACCGTTAAAAGTAAGAGGGACATCAGGAGGGTAGTGGAGGTCCCTCCTGTGTAACGAGAAATTTAGAAAAACAAGGGAAATGTCATATCTCAACCAAATAGAAACATATGTACAGTAGAAACATAAAAACATAGAATGTGACGGCAGATAAGAACCGTTTGGCCCATCTAGTCTACCCAATTTTCTACATACTTCCATTAGTCCATAGCCTTATCTTAAGTCCAGGATAGCCATATGCCTATCCCACACAGGCTTTTAAAACTCCCTAACTGTGTTAGCCTCTACCACTTCAGCTGGAAGGCTGTTCCATGCGTCCACTACCCTCCCTGTAAAGTAATACTTCCTGAAATGATTTTTAAACCTTTGCCCCTCTAATTTCAGACAATGTCCTCTTGTTGTGGTAGTTTTTCTTCTTAGCCATGATCCTTTATAGCAGTGCCCCTCAACCCTCTCCTCGGGGAACAACCTAACAGTCCAGGATTTAGGAATTATGGGTGTGTCTAAGGTTTTTTAAAAAAGAAAACACCTTAGACACACCCGGATTATCCTTAAATCCTGGACTGTTAGGTGTGCCTTGAGGAGAGGGTTGAGGAACACTATTATATGGCAATACAGCAAAAGGAGAGAAAGGTTGCCCCAATAAAAATTTAATGAAAGATATTCTCAATGGGAGATAGATACAGAAGAATAAAAACCAAAAGTTAAAAAAGGCTAAAGCCAATAAAATGGCCAAATAAATGTGCAAACTTGCAAGGAGATCAGCCACATCTTGAAGGAAAGGTTCTTCTCCATGGATGTGCCAGATTAGGAAATGCTTGGGTTCCGTATCAATATTTAAAAAAACAGAGGGAAACCCAATAGTGTAGTATATCACAACAACACTAATATTGTCTTATGTAGTCCTACTCACATTTTCTAGAGCTAGAACCAGCTCTTGTATGAATGGTGTACAGTCAGGGCCGGACTGGGGATACGAAGCAGCCCTGGAAAAAAATCTATGCCAGCCCCATAAGTCATTGTGCTATGTAGGAGGGTGTGTGTGTGTATATATATATATATATATATATATATATACATACATACATATACATATATACACACACACATATATATATATATATATATATACATACATATACATACACATATATATATATATATATATATATATATATACACACATATATATATACAATTGAAATAGTTGGCTGCACACTCATGCTTACTACAGACAAGCTCACTGTACACACATGCTCACCACAGACAGGCTCCGACACACCCATGCTCCTTACAGACAAGCTCACTAACACACACACACATATGATCCCTACAGACAAGCTCACTGACACACATACAAGCTCACTCACTAGCAGGCACACACACACAGGCTCCCTCACTAGCAGATGTGCGCACACACACACACAGAGGTAGACAGTCACTGACACCCAGGCAGACAGCCACACACACACAGGCAGACAGCCACACACACACAGGCAGACAGTCACTGACACCGAGGCAAACACCCACACATACAAAGACAGGCAGACAGCAACACACTCACACACAGGCAGACAGTCACACACAGTCACACACACACAGTCACACACACTCACACAGTCACACACTCACACAGGCAGTC